CGAATTTTTGCATTAATGTATCTTGGAAAGTGCCGACTGACGACGTGCAAGAAACCTGCACCTAATTTTTTGCATTGTTTTTCTCGCAAACATATAGACCTGCAGAAATAGGACAGTTGAGAACGTGCAGCATCGACTCTGCATGTAAATTGACACGAAGGAGATGTTTGATACATACACCATATTTGAGCTTCATGTCTACGATTGAACCAGACACTTCCTCAACCTGGACTCTACAGCACTTTTTCACCAACCATTTTGCGCATCGCGCAAACATGGCATCTAGTGTTAACACAGGTTCACGTTAAACCCCACTGCAATTTCTCTCAGGTTTTAGATTTTTTCATTATCACGGACCTTGCTCGAAAACATAACATACGTTTTTTATCTGTGTTAGTACACCGTGGATGATTCTCATCCTTAAAAGGTGAAGTCTAGCAAAAGTGGTGAGATCCTTTATTTTTTCGGTAACGAGCAACAACTCACGATAAAAGCAGCTTTGCAGTTACAAGCACAGTGCCACCACCTGAAGTAGCGCTGCCTCTTTTGCAGTTTGCCTTCCGCCTTATCATGTGAACTAAACGCTGGATGGTGGTTCTCACCATTTTGGGGTTCGCGGATCGAGTTAACACTGAACGGGATAAAATTATTTCAACATAGAGAGAAGACTGCACGTGGAAAGAAAGATACTCAATATGGGGACGGAAAATATGCCGCAAATGACTGTATATTTATCTAAAAAGTTATTTATGGACTTTAAAAGCAGAACCCTGTCGCGACGTTCCCGTGCACTGCAATCTGCCACCAAAACGGATAGACTTTGGTCTTAAAGAGGGACAGAAATAACCTTTTTGAAAGTGAAGAGCAAGAAGGATGTTGCTGTAAGTGCTGTATAACCGATGCAATATTGTTGCGCAATAAAACGGCCCGCTAAGTTGCTTAGAGGGAGCGTGCCACTTTTTTGTAATTTTCACTTATTGTTAGACCAGACGCGTACGATTTGATCAGAAATTAAAGCTTTCTCGATATCCTTCTGACATGTTCAGCGTTTTGAAGAAGCCCGCTCCTGCGGGAGAAATCTCAATGGACTCCGTTACCCCTATTATGAAAGTAATGCATCTAATTTGCCTTTTTCCAACGTTTGTGTTCTGCGATATTTGGAATACACCAATTTGTCAATATGTCTGTCATAAATGCTACAAAAGCTTGAAACACTATACACAAAAAGATGTGCAAACATAAAGGTATCATTTCCCGAATTCAACGGACCGTTATACTAAGGTTTAAATTTCTTCCCCATGGCGTTTTCCGTAGTGGCTCTTTCAGGATTCGTACTTTGGCTTAGGGAATGAGAATAACACGTAGTCCATAGCGACGAACTGGTTCAAACTTCAACCAACTCGCATGAATGTATCAGGCCCTTGTCTTCCGCTGGGCCAATCACAAACGTTCTTTTATTCACACCAGAACAAATGTTCTTTCATTCCCAAGACGGTTGTCATGACGACGGCGATGACCACTGCAGGAAAGAAGTGTAGTGCTGTTGTAAAACGTTGACATCGTAATTTGAACTCAAAAATAATTAAAATCGATGTTCCTATTATGCCTTGACGGTGCTGCAGTGACACTACCCAGCACTATCATAAGACGTATCTGGCCATGAGGTTTCACTACAGTAGGCTTTTGAAATGTTCCCGAAATGTGGGACGCTGTCTGCAAAAGGAACACGAAACACGTCGTCAATCACCTTTTAAGAAACCCCAAAGACTGCAGATGCCATATTAGCTTTCAGTGGCCATGACGCAACCGGGGATCGAAATTTGGCTTGAACAACGCAGTAGCAAAAACATTTGTACTAGTACCTAAGGGGCTCGGCATGTTTTGCGAACCTCAAACTACATGCATGCATTTTATAAGATAGACAGCATTTCTAAGCCGTTCTCCAGGCTGCCGTTCTCAATAAAAAGAACGTTTCATGGCGTTTCGAAATTCTTCGGACTTGAGGTTTCAGGACGCATATGTGGACGCATTTCATAACGTTTTTTATCAGCCCTCCTTTCATTGCAAAGTGTGTGATAAGCTCTGATTTACAACCCATTTATATGGTTTGTCCTGGCCAAGCAGGGCTCTGGCGCAGACACTTCCCATATTTGTCGAAAGGCATCTCCTAAACCACTCGTATTGTGACGGGCGCAATGCTGTGCCCACTGTGAATACTTTTGATCTTTTGCTATGTTGTTTCGTTTGTTTTGTGTTCCTTATGAGTACCTTTTTGCGCTTGGCCTGCAACCTTCTAGCTCCTACCACATGATTTCTAGTTGTTACCTGTGAATGATGATACGGGGACGTTGCGTAAGCGCTTTAAGGCGAAAGTGTGAAAAGTAACGTCCCCTGACAGATTCTTGGCATTCGATGCACCATATCTGCTTGTCTAGTAGTTCTGCAGGTGTATAGCAGTTGCAAAAAAATAGCATTGTCGATGCACGTGACTTCTGATGAGGTCATTTTAGATTCAGGTCACATCAGAGCAAATCTAGATAATAACATTAGATTAACCTACATGGTGTTGATATGGATGAAAGTATCTAGCATATGTTAAAGACCGGTGACACGTAAATGTATTGTCTAACTCATTGGTGTCGTGCTTTGACTTGAAAGGCCTCCACCCGCGGACGGAGGTGCTGTGAAGAGACGGCAAAATCTGACTTCACCCCTTTTTGCAAGACACGACCAGCAAACCGCTCAAAAGAACTTAAAATGACTTGCTAAGCGACGTCAATTACGCATGGATCCACCACCCAGCGCTTGGGGCTTACGCTTTAGCTCATTGGTTGTAGCACCGGCGGGGGGGGGGCTGTCCCCTCGGCTTATCCATTACGCTACGGAAGGTGGAGTAGCTGACCAAGCTGTCTATGATTACATGCTTCAAAGACATTGTCACAAGAAGCACAGGCTCGGGAGTATGCATACCCGCTTTCCTAAGTTGTAGAACAATTACGCCATATTCTCGGACGTTAGCTGTCGGCACGCATGAAAACTGGGTGCCTTCACAGACAAACGCGACGCAGCCACGAGCTGCAGCCGACTTCAGCAAGGGAACGTGTTGCAGATGCTCAGTCTGAGGGGGCATATCAGGTTTAAACAGACTTCGGCTCCGCGGTGTCATCCATGGAACCGGCCAAACTTCTTCGAGTTTGCTTTCTTGCCGACGGTGGTTTTGATGGAGGGAGCTGAGATGTGAGTGAGCTGAGATGCAACGCGCGGATGACGCTGCTGAACCATCGGAATCGTCTTCCTCATCGGCACGGGATTATCCAGATCCATTTTTCAAAAAACGAACTTCTCTCCTCAGTGCATTCAAGGGTTTAGATCGAGGGTTGACATCAAACAGCATAGCTGTCCACTTGAACAGTTGATTCTGCGTCACTGGTAAACAAATAACATGCAACTCGACTCGACTTCAGCGCCAGGAGTCGCTCACCCCAACATCGAACGACCTATGGCGTCAGTACAGGAGTCGATCACTATATATCGCCGCGTCTCCGAATAAACACCAACTTGAATATACACTTTTCGAATCAATAGTCTGCGTAACGATAACATCGGGTTCCGCAGAAGCGCACGGGCCGTCACGTCGCTCCGGTGGCGTGGCGACAGCGGCGGCATTCTTCCTCTTCCACAGCCAGAACACACCTGGACCTGAGCTCTCACTGGCACCTGTGTGGCCAGAACAGCCCAAAATCGCTCGCACACGTTCACCCAGTGTAGTGAGGTCAGGAGTAGCGAGCGTTGGCACGGTGTGAGATACTCAGCGGCGATAAACATGTCATGCTCGAAGGTACGCAGAAGCTTATCCAATGTTGCTATGACTGCTTAATGTTCTTGATTTTGCCCCATAAAGATGGTGCATCCTTCATCTTTTGGTGGTTTAAAATTCTGAAGTGGACAATTCACGGACTATTTAAGGGGACTAATGCAAAGACTGGGATATCGTGCGTGGCACGGATGCAGTCGCACAAACGTAAGCATCATATAACTGAAGCAGCTCACATGGAGTGGTTGTGCATAACTGATGCACATGTCAGTTGCTGTTGACGAATTTTCCTCAAAAAGGATTCAGAAATTTGCTTGTTGTTTTCGAAAACTTTCGATAAAATTATAAACACAAATGTATACCAACGCGGAAGAAGAATGTCACGTGTCTGCCGGGCAAAGACACGTGCACTTAACTAATCCAAAACGGGAGTAAAAGGTAATGTAGAACATAGTTAAAGTTGAAAACAGGTCGGCTTTAATACGCTCACACTTGACTCCTCTCTTAGAATGACAGAGTCATGAAATCATGATTTTCCGCTCCCTGGCCAAGATAGGTCTTTTAAGAGAAATAGGCCGATTCGTACGCAATCAAAGGTGTGCATAAATGCAAATATGGAAGGCAAACGCAAATTTCTATGCCTCGTGAAGGATTGATGATGGCCAGGGAGCAAACGTGTGCCGACCACAAGGTATGATTAATGCATCAAGTCTTGGTGCACGTAAGCCATACGACCTTATTGGACACGCATAAGGTATTGTTAATGCAAGAGAATAGCGGGCCTTGTTTCCGGGGTCCCCAGACTCACCCTGCCTGCAGTCTCACTGCCATCTCCGGGGGCAGGTTCACGGCCTCTCACTCAGCCAGCGCGAAACAAAGGCTGATGATTGCAGCATTCAGGTCTGGAGGGCTCCAATTGGCTCGAAAACGAGGAGATGAAGTTCAGTTCTCTTCGCGTTATTGAAAAACGGAACCAAATGAAAGTGTCCTGAGTGTTTCCGTGAATAGCGTCACGCCAGTATGATTGTAAGAATGCAAATTCAAGAAGGCAGATGAAATTTAAAGAGACGGTGGCAACAGAACGATGAGCGCAATACACAGCAGAACAACGGAGCACAGTAAACGCACCTAAATGTTGGACCAACACACCAGGAATGCAGGCAAATGGCTCAACCTCGTCGTGCGCCTACAGCAGCTCGCGCCGGGCTGCACCAGCATCCAACCGCCTGCCGCAGCGCCCGCGGCCGGCCGGCGTCACGCCGCCGCCTGCCCCGAAGCATGTTGAGCAGAGCGAGCCCACGGGGGCGATACTGCGTCAGGCGGCGTGTCCGTCGGCGACGACACTGACACGCGTCGGCTTCCGCCCCATCCCCCTTCCTCCCCCGACAGCCACACTAGGTCGGAAGGTCACACGCAGGTTCTCACACTTCGGTCGGGTGGGTGGGTTTGTCATAACGAGAGCCAGCGCGAACGGTCGGGTCTCTTGTCTCTGGCCGCACGCCGGGCCAAAGGGCGACGAAAAGGCTGCTCGCCGCCTCTAGCCTCAGCTGCCGTTGCGCGCCGTCTGGGGCCTCGTCGCCGCCGTGTCCCGGCAGCGTCTCCGGCATACCGCGCCCCGACACTAAGCACAAACCGGGTCCGCAGCGCCTCCAGCCCCGGCGCCGGCTGCCGCGGGCCACGGTGCACCGTCAGTTCCCGGCGCGGCGCAGCCCCGGTGCTCGCCGAGCGACTGGCGTCGGCCGCGGCCGCAGCGACGGTCTCGTCCTCCGGCGGGCGGCGTCGGCTATCATCTGACGCCGAGCAGCGCCGTCAGCAGGCCGGCCGCGACGAGCGTGACGACACGGGCCGGGTCGTGACCCTGCCGAGCCGTGCTGCATCGCCGCCGGGTGCTCGCCTGGAGACACGCCGGCTCGGGTCAGACCAGGCTGAGCTGGCTCAGGCGGCTAAATATCATTAGCTGGAAACGAGCCGGTTTGCGGGAATATCACCTAGAGATTGTCGGGGTTTCAGGCTGCACTGCAAATCCTGGGCCCGTTTAGAAGTACTTCATGACCACGAGTGCCCATGATGCGGGCTTTCAGGGTAAGGTTACAGGTATGGTGCGTGATATGCTGGGCCTGAGAGCTACGATAACCACCGTAAGTTCTATAAAAGGCGCTAGAGTTGATAGCAAGACCTAGCGGGATTGGCGATAAACATACAGCAGAGCGTTATGTCTGTGAAGGCTTTGACCGATAGCGTCTAGTCGGCTGTACGGCAATTCGTGTTCAGGACGGAAGACACCGATCTCCGCTGAGCGCCGACAAAGCCACTGCCCTGACCAGCCCACTCACAGAGCAGTCACAACCGACAGCGGCGTTTGTCACGGAGACAATGACACCACGCGCTGCGACGCTCGCGACTCGGATGCCGCTCCTCCGGGAGGCGTTAGGCTGGCCATGCTTCATCGACGTTAATCTGAACAAGTCGAAACTTCCCGACGATTTCCGCAGCGATAAAGCACAAATGTGTCGGCCGGAGCTGCTGCGTTTCGGTGGAACGAGTCGGCAGACGCGACACAGCCGCGCCGGCGGACGCTTCGTTTGCCGTCGGGCAACTTCATGGGTTCAACAGGTCTGTACCGGCACAGCCATAGATGGTTTCTCGCTACAGCTTTGTTTTGATAGCGTCTGTCGGAGCCAAAGGTGGCTGTTTTGAGTTTGAAGTTTGGCTAGATAAGCGGAAGTCCATGATTTACAGCCCATGACGCTGGGAAATAGCCGTATGGTCAAGGGGCCATGCAAATGGCTTCCACATGGCTTCAAAGACGCCGCTAGTAACACAACACTTGCTTTCCAGGAGAAAAAGATGCAACCACATTGAGGAAATGGGTAACGGATTGTGCCGAATCGGAGAAGCTAGAAGGTGCTCGGATAATTTCACCAAACGCATGTTTATTCGAATTTGTTTCAATCCATATCATAGACGGTTGACAAAAGATGGTTTCCTGGTTACCACGACCACCTCTATCACGCTGCGCAAACGAAACCATGACCCTCGCAAGTATCAATCATGTGATAACGGACATCAGATAGCACCTGGTCCATGACTTCTGTAATGGTGTTGTACCACGACGGCATATATCAACAACCATACCAACCCAACGGGACTGGCTGCAGCACCGAGCAGCCGGCGCCAGCCAGTTGCGTGTCGTCTGGGCCGTATCTCACCGGTGAGCACGTGCACGGTGACCTGGTCGGCCTGAGCGTCGGTGGGCTGGCAGGTGTAGAGTCCGGAGTCGGTGAGGCCGGCTCGGTGCACCAGCACGCTGCTGGTGCGGCCGGCCGTGCTCGCCACGATCCGACCCAGGCCCAGCGGCTGGTCCTCCTGGGGCCAGCCTGCCGACGGCCGGACAGCGGGGGTCCATCACAGGCGAGCGACGCTGACAGGTAGGGCCGTGCTCCCCCGGGCGCTCCAGCCCCACAGGCGTCGTGCGGGCTCGGACCCGGGCGGCGGCCGCCGGCGCGCCCGTTCGCCACGCGTCATCGGCGCCCCAGGGCCGGCCCCGGGTGGCGCCGGCGGGCTCGTGCGCGGGCGCCACAGAGCGCCACAGGGCTGAGGCGGGAGCGTCACAGGCGCCCCGGGCTGACACGCATGGCACGACCATGTGAGCAAGGCCCGTAAGACAGCGTTTGCTGAGGTTCTGCATCAACAACACGGTCCGGAAAATCGCATCATGTGGTAAGCTTGGTCGACGCCCTTTAATCAGGCCCAAATGACAATTAGCTGGAAGGCGAGCTGGCCTGTACAGATTGACCCACTAAGCGATCATTAACTATTTCCGACCGGACCACAGATACCGCGAATTTCAGTGACATTGATCCTTTGAACAATGCATTTATTTGGCTGGAGGCTGAGAGCAGCGGTCAGTCTCGGCAATACCCGTGTGCCCTCCGCTGCGGAAGCGACTGGCGCTGGAACTCTGAGCGGAAATCTTCGATAGCTTTGATATCTTAAAGTATTGACTGCTCAGAGTACCATTTACGCATGCTGGAGCCTAGCAAACTTCTCTTGGGGTCACAGTAACCTTGAAGTGTCTAGTTGCATCCTTGGAACACCGCTTGGGCGTTGGTGAACAGAAAGCACCCTAGCTAAATTCGCTTAGGACTCACTTAAATAGAGCTTGTAGTTCCTGGTTTGAAACCTGTATATTCGCGAAGGACACAGGGACATTGCTAAGTTCTTTTACACGTTAGGGACAAATCTTTGACGCACAAATGAATGTAAGAAAAAGTTGAGTTCAAGTGACATCCTAGATTTTGATCATTTTAGACCGTTTTACTCTTGGTGCAGCTGCTGCAGACATCCAGCTGCCTGAAATCATACCGATGCTGAGTAAAATGCGCTCCCCGCTGTGTCTATGGATTAGGGATTGTCTATGGATTAAAAACTGTTCAGGCACACAAGCCTAGTCGGTGCAAACGGGAATTGTACGTGCAGATACACACAAATTGATTCCCATCTATTCCGCTTGAACTTCGTAACATTTCATTCTGATCGTGGTATGCGTCATGTGGTCATTATCAGCGCACATCACGCGGGGATGGCCTTCACTAATCAGACCGAACTTCCTTGACAGCCACTCGGCCCAGAAAAGTACCGGCGTGATGAATGAATGATATGCGCCGGCGTAGCGGATGACACATACCGGCGTGGTGAATGATATCTAACGCCGTAATGGATGACACGTACCGGCGTAGTGAATGATATCTAACCCCGTAATGGGTGGCACATACCGGCGTAGTGAATTATACCCAACCCTGTAATGGATGTCACGTACCGGTGTTGTAAATGGCATATGACGCCGTAATGGATGACACGTACTGTTGTTGTGAATGACATATAACGCCGTGATGGATGACACGTATCGGTGCAGTGAATGACATATAACGCCATAATAGATGACACGTGCCGGCGTTGTGAATGATATACAACACCGTAATGGATGACACGTACCGGCGTAGTGAATGATATCTAACCCCGTAATGGGTGGCACATACCGGCGTAGTGAATTATACCCAACCCTGTAATGGATGTCACGTACCGGTGTTGTAAATGGCATATGACGCCGTAATGGATGACACGTACTGTTGTTGTAAATGACATATAACGCCGTGATGGATGACACGCATCGGTGCAGTGAATGACATATAACGCCATAATAGATGACACGTGCCGGCATTGTGAATGATATACAACGCCGTAATGGATGACACGTACCGGTGTAGTGAATGACGGAACCATTGTGCAGCCAGTACAGCTGGCTGATGTTGTGAGTCAGCGTACAGGACAGACTGATGGAGCTGCCCGCCTTCACGTACAGCTCCCGGTTGCTGGCGATGTAGGCTCGCGACTCTGCGCAAGGGGAGGTCGTAGTAGGCTCAGAGTCCCGTGCTCACTCCAAGACTCGTAGACATTTAAGATCGTGATCTTGTGGCCGAGGGGACTTAAAATAGCGCTGTCACCCCCTTCTCAATTACCCGGGCCCTGAGAACACTGGGCCAAATTAATGACGGCGTTAGTCCCAGTCTCGGCGCTAACCAGCAGGACGTCCTTTAGATGTGAACACGACGAGCATTGCAGGTCCATTATAGCTCCTAGCATCGCGCAATTTAATTCGTCGGCGCTTTACTGGCGCGCCGGAGCTGCAGCAGACGTCGGCGATCCAGCCCGCAGCGCTAATGACACCATTGACCGGAGCTAATGGTGGGAGGCGGACCCGGCCCAATCTCTCCGCGGACGGGTGCTGCAGCGGCACCCCGCGCCGGCCCGGCGACTGACCTCTGACGGTGAGGCTGAAGTGCTGGCTGATCCTGGGCTCGGTGCTGACCTGGCACAGGTACGAGCCCGAGTCGTTGACGCGCGGGCCGAGCAGCTTCAGCGTCCACGTGTCACCCGTGTGAAACGCCACGAACCGCTTGTCCCGCGTGTACGTGAACAGGCCCGTGGTCAGGATGTGCAGGTCGCGCTCGCGTATCCATGACACCTGCGCGGGGATGACATGGAAATGAGACATCCAACGGGGGATCGGAGAATTGGTAGTTGCTTCGAACGATGCCGTGCTCTACTACATACGCTAGTTAAGTAAGTTTGTTATTTGTCGACTGTCGATCTTTCAGTTAGCCATTGATGTTAATGGGCAATAAAACATTCAATTAAGCACAAATCAGTGGCATAAGCATCCGTTAGTTAAACATGCAATTCGAATGACTTTAAAAAGCATGCTTCTTTGAAATGCTGCCACATCGTTATGCATACGAATACTCAAAACATCGGCAAGGTTTGGGCTTTAATTCGCACATTATTGCAAGTTTGTACTAACGCCGTAAATGGCAGCATAATAAACATACTTACGGTATCGTGAGCAAAAAGTAAAGTGATGCGACCAAACTTGCTATGCTCCGCAGTTAATGATACTCCAACGCATAAGTTGGAAGCGAAGATTTCTCTCATTTTAACAGCAAACATA